GACATTTCTACAGTGTGGGGACATTTCTGCATTATGGGGACATTTCTACAGCATGGGGACATTTCTACAGTGTGGGGACATTTCTGCATTGTGGGGACATTTCTGCATTGTGGGGACATGCTTTAAAGTGTTCAGTGTCAGCATTAAGGTTCCAGATCAGTTTTTCAGTCCCCACTCCATAAGGAATAAAGGTAAGCGTGTGTGTGTGTGTGTGTGTGTGTGTGTGTGTGTGTGTGTGTGTGTGTCACTATGGGATACCGTCCAAAAGCCCTGCTGTCATTACATCGTCCTTCCTGTCCATCTGTGTGTGTGTGTGCGTGTGTGTTTGTGTATCCAGAGGGTCAGTGTGTGTCTGTGTGGCTCAGCAGCAGCAGTGAAGCTCGCTCGCTCTCTCAGACCACGGTGCTGACGGAGGGATCTGATAGGTTGAGCTGGCCGGTGATGTCGGTCGGGTACGGCTACAGAGAGAGCAAACACACTGGTTATAAACAGCAGCATCACACACTGGCTGATCCTGAGCTGTACCCTCTCATGGGTCCTGCCTACATTCCTGTTTTCATCTGATGGACTTATTAGCAGTGGAGGAAGCGTTCAGGTGTTTTACTCAGGTGTTACCTGCACACAAGCAGCTGTTAGCGTGAAGATGCTAACAGGTCTCCTGTGTTAAAAAGATGGATTTGCACATTTGCACCACAGCGAGCCTGTCAGACTTCACTGCAGACACACAGGATCGTTACGTTAAGAATTACCTCCTTTAAACAGATTAATATCCTGGCATCAGTGCAGGGCTGGACATTTGAATCCTACATCACTTTTCACTCGTCTACAAAGTTCACCGTGATATTTTGTGACGTGTTTAAAGGACCGTCCCTTAAAGGTTTCAGGCTGCTGGACATGAATTAAACATCGTCTTCCATCGTGTGAGCCGGGCTGAAGCTCTGCCACGGGCAGCATCAAACTTTCATGTGTGAACAGAAGCAGCAGCACAGGCCAGGCTGTCGGTTCGATTCCCAACAGTGTGCGTTGGTTTCTTTAGGAAACCTGATTGTGTGTCAGCCTGACAGCGTTGTTGACACAGGCCTGCAAAACACACGTGAGTTTCTCTAAGACAGAGAAATGATCAAAGCCATGCAGTGCAGTGCTGTGTACAGCAGGCTGTCTCTGTCTGCTGTGTGAGCACAGTTGGACTGACGAACGAGTGCTGTTCTCAGTATGGACGAAACGATGATCACACTCCCAGAGACGTTCACTGTGGACACTGTGGACCTCACCACTCTGTCTCACTTCATAAGACAATTTTTCTAACATTCGTTTCTGATGCTAAATTAAGTTTTAATGCACATATTTTTCAATTATGTATAATATATAAATTTATACTGTGAAATCAGTTTTCCTGCAGGGATTTTAATCCTAACATTCATTTTTTATTCTAGCATAGATCGTTACTGACAACATTTGAGGGTCACTGATTTTATGCTAATGCTAGTTTATTTATTATGTTATTATTGATGTTTTTACATTTTCTTATATGATTTTAACCTAAATTTTTTCTGCTTAATGTAATCTTAACTGTTCTGACTCACAATAATAATTACCATCACATATAAAGAAAAATGGTGATATTTTTTAAATGTCACACTGTCAGTAGAACACCTGTTTAATCAAGTTGGTTCTGTTCATCTAAATGTTATGTCTCCAGTTCAGCTGATTTTATGGGATTGTCAGCAGAAAGCGCAAAAACACAGCAGCTTATTCTTCATGCTAACATCAGTGTTTTTATGCTAGCAGTACGTAGCACAGAAACACTGTTTGTGTGATTCTAACAATTTTATTTTATTTATATCCACCAAATATGTAGATTGTTTGTGTAGGCCTGACACTGTGTCTTCTGTCACACTGCACACCATGCTAAGATTAGTTTTCCACTAACAGTTCTCTGGAAAGACTGGAGCTCTGTGGCTGGAGACCAGTTTAAAAATCACAATAGGTTTAACTGTTTGACACTAAAATATAAAGACATGATCAGTGGCACAAGACTTTTGCACAGTGCTGCATTATCAATAAGTTATAACATAAGCATGCTAATGCTAGCATGCTAAGAGCCCAGCACGCTCTTCATTCATTTGTAGCCACAACTTTAAACATGTAAACAAAATGCAGAATGTTACGTAGTTTTTAGCTATTGTGCTGTTTACAAAAAAAAACTAGAATTGATGAAGAAGATCAAAGCTGTTCTTAATGCACAGTTTTGATCATGCTAATGTTGTTGTTTTTTTATGCTAACATGAATTGTTTTCATGCTAGCGTTTTTTATGGCAACATAAACATTTTCGTGTGAATGTCAGTGTTTTTTGACAAAATAAGCTTGTGGAGCTTTTTTCACCTTTTTATCTCCAAAGCACTGAGTAGGAAGTGGCTTCCAAAGTTTAACCAATCAGATGAAAGCTGGCTTTTAGAGACGAGGGACTTAAAGCGACAGTAAACTGGCTTGTTGTAGACAGGATTGTTTTCAAGTGTGAATCGTGAGCGGGTTAGCTCCATGTAAACACCAGAAACCACTGAGGGAGCCATCCAATGTAGACCACAATCAATGCTGTACTCTGAGTAAAAGTACTTAGTTACTTTCCACCACTGCTAATGTGACGACTGATGGAGTTTGCCCGCAGCGAGGCGGGGCAAAGCTGGGGGTCTGGTTTAGAGTGCGGGTGTGTTTTCAGCCTACAGTCGGTCGTGCTTGCAGAGGAGGACAGAGGCAGTGTGTGTGTAGTACAGCATGTAGTCTGGACACCATTCAAATCCACTGAGAGAGAAAAACACTCATATAGAAAATAAAGAGAGATGATCACAAGAGAAATGAGTCAGCTCTGCTCCAACACCCGCTTCAGCTGGCTGGGTGTGATCAGCAGCTGGTTCTTCTGCTGCTGATGAACATTAAAGCATTTCAATGAGCTCTCCTCACTGAAACAGTTTAACGTGCAGCAGCTCCTTAAATCCCTGAGATGACATGCTTTGGCACTATTTTGACTCCCTTTACATCAAACCACTGCTTATCTGGAGGGAGGAGGGATGCAAAATGTGCCAGAACGCTGCAGATTTTAAGACACATCACAAAGTTTGGCACATTTCAGATCGTCCGACTGAGGAGGAGAGTTTCACCAACGCTGCAGAAAAACAGACCTCAGAAATCCTGCAGCTTCGCTCAGATCTGAAGCTGCCACAGTAACAGCACTGAGGTCATTTATAGATCGTTAACAGCCGAGTCCTGTGGGAACAAGAGACGGTCAGGAAGACCCGAGCAGCCGACCAGACGCTGAAACAGACAGGAGTTAGAGGAGATGGACGAGTCTCTGCTGGGCAACCTGTGAGGGCAAGAGGCCGGGAGACAAAGTGCGTGGGGACATTTGGAAATGAAGGGACAGAGAGATGACAGGACAGGAAGGAGAGGAAACAACCAATCAGAGAGAGACAGGACAAAGGACAGGACAATGGACATGACAAAGGACATGACAAAGGACAGGACAAAGGACATTACAAAGGACAGGACAAAGGACATGACAAAGGACATGACAAAGACATGACAAAGGACAGGACAAAGGACAGGACAAATGACAGGATGAATGACAGGACAAAGAACATGACAAAGACATGACGAAGGACAGGACAAAGGACATGACAAAGACATGACAAAGGACAGGACAAAGGACATGACAAAGACATGACAAAGGACAGGACAAAGGACATGACAAAGACATGACAAAGGACAGGACAGAGGACATGACAAAGACATGATGAAGGAAAGGACAAAGGACAGGACAAAGGACATGACAAAGACAGGACGAACGACAGGACAAAGGACAGGACAAAGACATGACGATGGACAGGACAAAGGACATGACAAAGGACATGACAAAG